CAGGGTGGACTGTGTCTGCTGGGGCGGCGTTTCCTGGGTTTGCATGGGGAGCCCCCGCCCAGCTTCTATCATGTGTCCCCCCCCCACCCCCCGGCTTCTGTCACGTGTCCCCTCCCTGCTGTCCCTTTCCTTTGCCCTCCCGAGGTATGTCCTGTGCTCTACCGGCTTTTATCTTTCACTTCGGTCGGGAAGATGAACTGCCGGGGAGGAAGGGATCGCCATGCGCTCCCATGTGTCCTCCGCTCACGCTCCGTCTCCAAGAGCTGCCGCTCTGGCTCCACGTACGGGACAACGGAGCGCCTGTCTCCTCCGCTCGGGGATGGGGACCCACGGGGTGGGACTGTGGTGCGTGCAGGACCCACACTCATACTGGGAAAGGCCCCAAGGACCCGCGTGGGTGAAGCCTGGAGCCGGAGCAGGGGAGGGTCCCTACCAGTGACTTCTGGTCGCCCAGCTGGGGGTCCACAGAGCTGCTGCTGCCGCGCCTCGACTCCAGGAGGCCGGGGGCCGGGTCCAGGTGTGGGGAGCTCTTGGGGGTGGGCATGGGCGTGGCCGCTGTGCGCATGATGAGGGGAGGGGGCAGGCTGCCTCGGCCCTCCAGGTGCCCGTTGGGGGTCACTGCCAGTGGGTACATCTTCACCTCTGCAGACAAGAGGCGGGGATTTGCACCTGCAGAGCTTCCAGGAAGCGAACGTGACCCCTAGAACTTGCCCACAGGAGCCCGTGCTAGGCCAGGATGGGGTGAACGGCACCCCCTCGACCCCCATGGTGCAAACGCTCACCCGTGGCCCGGGCGTCTGGGAACTTGTCAAAGTCCTCCTCCAAGTGGGCGGATGTCTTGTCCTCGTCCGTGTCGGATCTGTTGGCGTCACCCTGTGGCCGCAAACAGAAGACACACGTGAGGCTCCCCCAGGACAGGAACCATCTGCGTCAAACACCCCCACGCAGGTCTCCTCCCTGGGCTAGGCTGGCGTGGAGGTGGGCGTGGCCGGGAGGGCTCGGCCCGAGGTTACTACCAAGGGCAGGTGTGGTGGCCAAATGATGCTCGCTCTCCATGTCTGTCTGGTGGGATTCCCGCCCCTCACCTCTGCCTGAAAGCCCTCCACCAGGATGGCCACCAGGAGGTTGAAGAGTACGTAGTTGCCGAAAGTCATCAGTGCCACGAAGTAGAGGGCTGCCCAGGAAGAAGTGGAGGCCATGCCGTTGTAGAGGACAACGTTCCAGTCCTCCTGGGTGAGGATCTGCGGAGAGGGGCCGGTTGGGGCTGGAGATGCCGAGGAGCCCTGGGGGGCGGCTTCACCGCACTGGCCTCAGACAGACCAAGGCACATGCTGGGGCTGCCCCGAGCAGGGCGGGGGGTTCTCCCGGGGACCACCGTTCCCGTCAGGGGATGCCTGCCCACCCCGGCTGTACCTGGAACACGGTGACGATGGCCCACAGCAGGGAGTCAAAGTTCTTCCTGTCGGGGACCGTGTCTCCGGTGTCCGTTGTCAGGCTGAACTTGCACCCAAAGAGGTGCATGCCCAGGATGCTAAGGGCAGGACAGGATGGCAGGGAGGCGGGCAGCAGGTGAGCAGGTGCAGCGCCACGTGGCCATCCCTGCCCCCAGGGGTTGGCCTTCCACGCCTTCCCCATTGGCCCGGTCCCCAGCTTCCTGCTTTACAGGGGCCTCCCTGCCGGTGCCCATGGCCTAGCCACCTCCATCCTACAGGTGGAATACGGAGACCGGGGTGCGAGGAACCGGGGCCTGTCTTGCTCAGCCTGCCTGGGCTGTTCTCTACCCCAGCCCATCGTTGAGGCTGGACCCCACGCCAGGCTGGCACACAGTGGGTGTTCAGCACATAGGTGAAGGCTGCCCCCACTCCTTCCCTGATTTCCTTGGGGCACAGATCCTCATCCATCCATCTGGGAGTCCTGCCCATCCCCCCACCCGGCTGCGAGCCTGCAGAGCGGAGCCCACTCTGGGGTCCCACAGGGCCTGCCAGCACACGGAGGGCCAGCCAATGAAGTCTGAACAGAGAACCAGGGACGGAGCCTCCACAAACCGGGGGCAGAGCGGTGGGCGGAGCGGTGGGCGGGCCGTGCCCTAACCACGTAGCCCCGCGGGGGGAGGACGGCTCCCCAGCAGCCGACCCACCTGAAGATGAAGATGAAGAGCATGAGCAACATGCAGAAGGTGGCCACGTTGTCCATAGTCTTCATGAGCACCACCAGCTGGCGCCGCAGCGCGGGCATGAAGCGCACCAGCTTGAGCACCCGCAGCAGCCGGAAGGTTCGCAGCACCGACAGGCCGCCGTCCGCCTGCCCAACGATCTCCCAGACGCTGCGGGGCGGGACCGCGGGTCAGGAGGGGCCCCGCGTTGGGACCACGCCCCCGCCGCGCCCCTGGCCCCGCCTCCCAGCGCCACACCCCCTCCTCACGAAGACCACGCCCACCTCCCTGGGGACACCCCCCCCCCCCCCACACACACCCCTGCCACGCCCCCGGCCCCTACTCTTCCCAAAGCAGGAATGCCAGCCCGGGAGCCTCAGTGGCTGAGAAGTTAAGCTGTGTCAAGGCGACTAGAGCCCCGCGGGGGGGGGGGGTGAGATTCACCATCTAAATAGCTGCTGTCGCTGGTGGCTGCCGGCCTCCAGCAGCTGCGAGAACTTGGGCTCTGCTCTGGTCAGAAACTTCTCCATCCGGGGCCCTTTCCCCATCCTGTGCTCCTTACAGCGAGCTCCGCCTACCTCGTCTGCTCCCACTCAACCCTGTCCCCGCCAGGGGGGACCCCCTTGACTCCTGAAGGCCCTGCTCCCTCCTGGGGGAGACAGGTATCCCCAGATTCTCCCACTCCTTCCCGTGTTGACGCCATGCAGCAGATATCCCAGAGGAAAGCTGGCCTTCCTTGCAGGCACGGAGCCCTGAGTGGACTCCAGCCAGGAGGCGGAAGGGCCGCCGAGTGTCTACGCTGTCCCCACAGGGAACGGCTCCACCACATTCTGGAAACATTCTGAAACGCGGTGGACTGCGTGCAGCTGGCAGCGCCAGTAGGAAGGGACCTGGTCCCAGGGAGGGGACCCCGCCCTGCCCATGATGTGTGACTCTGTACAGCCTGCCAGAAACACTGCCCGCAAGCCCTCTCCCTCCGACTGAGGCTCTGCTCTCGGGGCGGGGCGGGGGTGCGGTCCCGGGCCCCGTGGCCCAGGCGGGAGACAGGGGACCACCTGATGACCACGATGATGCCGTCGAAGATGTTGTAGGGGTTCCGGATGTAGCCCAGCGGGCCGCAGGCCAGCAGCTTCAGCAGCATCTCCAGGGCGAACACACTGGTGAACACGATGTTGCTGATCTCCAGGGCGTTGGTCAGCTCGTCAGGCTGCGGGCAGTGGGGAGGCCGTCACGCCCCACCCACGGCTCCCACCCCTCGGAAGCAGGAGGGCTCCCTGCCCCCAGGAATCTGAGCGCGGGTTCAACTACACTGATGCAGCGGCTTGGAAGCAACCCGACTGGCTGCCCTCTGGAGGAGGAAGCGGATCCCAGCCTGCCTGGCCCTCCCACCCTGACCGTCACTGGCTCCCCTAGGCCCTGCCAGCATGTCTGAGACCGGAGCAAATGGAGACCACGGGGACGTGGGGGCACCAGCTCCAGGGTAGGGGAGGAGGACCTGCCTTGCATCTGCTTCCCTGGCGTCTGGGGGCCTTGCATACCCCTTCTTGCTGGCAGGAGGTTCCAGAGGTCTTCTTACCGGGGACCTGCTGACTTATCTGTGTGTGTGCCTGAGCTAATGTATACGTTCCCACGCATGTGAGCACGCCTGTGCACACTCGACACGTGTCTATACACGTGTTCCCATCTGCACGGGTGGGTCTTACACATCTACGTGCACTCACGTGACCACACACACCGGCGTGTGCACGTGTCCACGTGTGCAGAGGCTCTTCCTTACCAAGGAGTCCCCTGAAATCTGCTCACGTCCCTGTCCTTGGCTCTCACCCTCCCGAAAAGAGCCTCCCCACACGGGGCCTGCGGAAAGCCACCAATGCTTGGGTTTTCCCTAAATCCTCCAGAACGAGAAAAGCCGTGTAAACCCCTGGAAAAGCCCGAAGGATGGGACACGAGAAACTCCATTTGGTCACCCCGAGGGAACCAGCCTGGTCTCTAGAGAGAACGCCTTCTCCCTGCCAGACCCGGCTGCCGCCCTTCCTGCGGAGGTCCCGGTCCAGGGCGGGGGGTGAGGAGGGCTTCCATGGCTGCTGGGGAGCCAGACAACCCCACCACAGGCTCCCGAGGGTCATTCTACACTTTGGCCTCCTGTGGCCACGACGAGCATCCCAGCGGGCCTGGCTCACGGAAGGGGAGCCCTGATCTGCGAGAGCTGAGCCCATCCTCAGAAGAGCCACCAGGTGGCCTGGGGAACGCCCTTGGCCTCTGCTAGGTCTGTGGTGCTCTCCGCGGACCCCAGATGGGTAGAAGCTCCACACGGGAGGCACGGCGCGTGTCTGTGCTCACTCGATGAGGACCCAGTCCCAGAAAGGGACAGGAGCGTTTGTCAAGCGACTGAGCAGCCACCGTCCCTGGCCCCGCCCCCACCCTCAGGTGGGCCCGCGGCCACCTGCCTGCTCGTGGTATTCGACGCCCATGCTCAGCGTGTTGGTGAGGATGGCCACCATGATGCCGCGGTTGAAGTACTTGCTGTCCACGATCCGGCGCAGTTTGCCACCGAAGGCGGCCCAGACGCGGCCCGGCCCGCCCTGCTCGCCCGGGGCCGCC